CTCATTATAAACCTGTATCTTGTCCATATATTCTAATTCCTTGATTTCAGGGCTCACATTGGTAAAAGCAATAATCTTTGTAGCCTCAAGTCAAATTTCATGATGCATGGTTCAATGCTCCATTATCATTGCAGTTTGCATTTTTGGGAAGTCGAGAAACGGTCTTGTCTGTGCTGACCTTATTGCGTCCTTTGGCGAGACACTATCCAAAATGCATGGCATGTGACAGGCCTAATGTATGTTGTTCATTGAAGTAGCCAATGGACATTGCCTCAAAATGACCCTAGCTGTTCATAGGCGATAAACACAAGAAACTAAATATTGCTAATTATTCTGTGTGACCTTTGAATGTAAAATTAAATATGACTACTCCTTCTATCTTTTCCTACAACGTAAAAGCTGCCATTTTAAAAGTTGAGATATGTTGTAAATGAATTTATATAATGAAATGTATGTAGTCATTTCTACACAAGATTTGATGATTTTTGTTCTGCATAACATAAAATATAACACACCATAAAATGTTGAGGAAATCAGATACCTACCAGATATATTCTCTGTGATGCTTACTCTTCAAATACAGCTTTTATAAATTAGAAACGAAGAATTTGTATTAAAACATATCACGGTAAGGTAATTTTTTCTTTAAATGACATTTGTTCAATGGTTTTTAAAAACATAAATAAAAAATAATCAATCATTACATTTGGGAAAGTAATATTTTCACAAATTCTTTTTACTTTTCACCATATTAAGGAAATTTACAACCTTAGTTCAGATTATTATGAGGTAACCAGATACTATGAGGTTTATAACATATTCTATTTAGTTCTGTTGTTTCTACTGTTAGAAATTTTCTAGATTAAGTCTACAATGATTTTAACTACATTTCTTGACACTAACATCATTTTTATTGCATAGGAACTGATTTGAGGTCATGATTAGATTTATTTATTCTACAGCCAAATCCTCACAATACATTTAAAGAGGTTGAACAGTGATTATCGGTAATGCAGGTAAAATACAGGTCTGTTACATATATACTGCTCCAAGTTGGTTATCAGGTTTCGTCTTTTACATATATAGGGATATACAACAATTTGCTTTTATACTAGCATAAACAATAAAAACAATCTGTTCAATACATATGTATTCCTTATGAAATAGCTTGGTTTTATCAAGGGTCTAACTACATCATGTATGTGGGAAATTCCTGTATCTTTAGTGCTAAGTTAATTTCTGGAACAGCCAAAGCTATATACATATCTGCATCCTTTATCACCTCATTCTAAAAATGTACAAAAAGTGGAAGGACACAACAATGGTGATCTTATAGTGTTCAGCAGATATTTGGTGTGAAAGATTCCTGGTTTTATCCATAGCACCAGTGCTATTCTGAAATAATTTTTTCTTTATTCATAATCATATATTGAGAAAGGTAGCATCCACCTTTAATTAAGAGACAGGAGATTGTCTCCCTTTGATAATTTTGTCTACTACAGAAGGAAGCAGTGCCAGGTTTAAAGGTATTACACTAGTAACAACCTTTAAATATATCAAAACAAAATCTTCTCAAAAGGTGAGGTTTATAGACTTCATTAAATTTTATATACCATTCTGATATTAACATGCTGTTTCTCTGCTATGGAAATATTGTGCTTCTGTTTAATAAGTTTTTTCACAAAAAAATAATTTTAGTCAAAAATTTACAAAATCCTACAAAATATGATTTTATGACAACAGTTACTAAATTAAAAGGTCAAGTTTTTGCTGTTTTGATCAGAGATAGTTGAGTTAATCATGTGACCTTTCGGAACCTCATTTTAACCCACCATTTTGATATGCTTTCTTACTATGTATAATTATGTAAATAGCCAAAACTTAATTTGCCAGCCATGTTTCAATTCTTACTTTGTAAAATGGCCTCTTGTTTTATGCTATACATGTGACAGAGTGAAATAAATGAATTAGAAATAATCTGAATCCAAAATTGAATGCGCAAAGACATTGTTTACACTCTCCAAACAATAATATGAATTAGTGTTGGGTCGCTCCTATTTTATTTCAATTTTTTGACGTCAATCAAACTGTTATGCAAACTTTAAAATATCATAATTAACACACAATTTTTAACAGATATTTAAATGTCATATTGCTTTTTATCAGTTATGAAATGAATATCTAACCATTTAGTCCCCCTTCAATGAGAAAACCTTTTAAAGAAATTTCTTTCTTTTTTAAAAGTAATATTTCAATAATTTCATATTGGGGTTTGAAGTCCTGCATTGTTCAATCTTTTATAAGTAATCATCTGAGTTACTGATATATTGATTCAATGATGAAATGTAGATTGGTAACTATTCATTATTTCTTTTTCTATTAATACAGTGAGTCTTTTGAAGTCCTATGAGGACAAAACACATTTATGGTTCAATTTGATTCACTCTAATGCATTATTTGACTTAACTGTCAAATCTACTTCTACTATATATATCTAATTCTTAATTTGTATTGAGGAGTAAAGAAAGTGTCTCAATCAAGGTAGGCGGTAGTATCATATTCCTGCAATTTTAAACAAGAGTCAGAATCAGTTTCATAAATCCTTAGAAATTGGTACCAAAGTACCAAAGTGAGTAACACACAGATTTATATAGAAACTGTGATATAAAACATGGTATCTGTTGTCTAAAGGAGATTAACATACATAAAATAGAAAATTGTTCTCTACAATTGCACAAAGTATTGATGATGTTGAGAAACAATGAATCAGTATAATACTAAGATCCAGTTCACAACATCTGTTTCACAAAATGAAATTATAGCGTCTTTACAAGTGACATTCAATGTAATCAGGTCTAATTCATGCTTCCAAGATTTCCAAGATCTTAAAACCAAGCAACAGAAAAAATACTGAATTTTCAAAAATACACATTCCTTTCTAATGATATTTTCTCATGAAATTCATATAAACCTGAATAAAGCAACAGCTTATTTAAATATATTCAGCAAACACCACAGAAATGGTATGAGGAGATAACCCTGTGACAAATTATATATCTATTCACATCATAATTTGCATACAAAATCTAAACCATACGTTGTAAAAAAAATTGAAAAATAGTCATGACAAGGTTTGAAATCATCTCACACACTCATTCATCTTGATTTATATGACTGTACAGGAAGTTCCCTCCAATTACACATTCAAACTTCAATCTTTTATTAATTCTTAATGTAATATTTTTCAGAGTTGTCATATTGTTTAATTTATAAACTGACAATAAAAAATTAACAAAAAACTTTTTTCTTTTGTCAGCATTTCTCAGAAAGTGGCGCCTAGAAGTGCAACCACACAACACAACAAAATGTCATTTCTCACAGCTGTAACAATATGTGTGCCTTTAGTGAAGTTTTGACACTCTGAGTCATAATGACCCGAAATTTATAAAAAAACAAGTTTAAGTTTGGGTAATGTTACCTTAGCAACAAACTTATGCAAACATTCTTAACAAATTTTACATCAATTGAAGAAACTCTGGACATTTCTCAACTCCAGCAGGGACAGCCTCTAATTCAAATACTTCACTTGGTGTGAAAACTGAAATTCATGAATACCTGGTGTTTCTATATAGAATTATGCATTTCTGGACTGTATATAAATTCAAACTTAATCACAAACAATTAATATATATTACTTTTATTACAACACTTTTCTTAAATAAATTGAATTCAATATATTATAATTGAGTTAAGCTATCACTGAATATTCAATTTCTTTTCTTGAAAAATAAATACAGTAAGCTCTGTACATCTATTATATACACAAAATTTCTGAATTTACAACAACAGGACACAGTATCTCCATCTCAACAGTTTTCTTAAGAAAACAAATGTTAATGCATGAACAGGTGTATGAATGGTATAGTGGAAATCATAATACTGAATGGCACATAATTGTTTCCATTCACAATGTCCCAACTTTCATTCCGTCTGCCTTTACATTTCACCAGTAACTATTGAGATATTCAGAATTTTAATCTATCATCTAACACAAATGCTTTTAACAAGAAAAAAATATATATCAGGATTCAGAATTTTCACTTACCCTTATTGGAAAAGTGTTGTATGACTTTCTATCAAAACATTTAATTCCATAGCTGCTTAAAATTAACAAGGTTTTGTTTCCAGATAATCAACAAGAAGGATGATATAGAACAGGCATTGAAAAAAACACATGTAGCACAACCAATTCCACATATTCTTGTACTCACACTATTACTACACACACCTATCAAACACACATTCGTGTCCACACACTATTACTACATACACCTATCAAACACACATTCTTGTCCACACACTACACACACCTATCCAACACAAATTCTTGTCCACACACTATTACTACACACCTATCAAACACACATTCTTGTCCTCACACTACACACACTTATCAATAACACATTCTTGTCCACACACTATTACTACACACACCTATCAAACACACATTCTTGTCCACACACTACACACACTTATCAAACACACATTCTTGACCACACACTACACACACCTATCAAACACACATTCTTGTCCACACACTATTACTACACACACCTATCAAACACACATTCTTGTCCACACACCTATCAAACACATTCTTGTCCACACACTACACACACCTATCCAACACACATTCTTGTCCACACACTATTACTACACACCTATCAAACACACATTCTTGTCCACACACTACACACACCTATCAAACACACATTCTTGTCCACACACTACCCACACCTATCAAACACACATTCTTGTCCACACACTATTATTACATACACCTATCAAACACCACTATTACTTCACACACCTATCAAACACACATTCTTATCAACACACTATTACTACACACACCTATTAAACTGTCCAAAGTTTGTATTTAACTTGGTGAAATTATTGTCAATCACATAAATATATGTGAATGACACAAATTTGCCATTTTCAATAGAAGTTGATAAAAAAGTATTGGGAAAACAGACAATATCACTAGTAAGATTGTTTGTATAGTTCACTTGTTTTTTACTTCTTGTAAAAAATCCACAGTAACTATAAATTGTAAATTCAAGGACCACAACAAAGTAAAGAAAGATATGAATGTTGAGCCAAACACAAATCAAAAATAGTGTCCTGTGACGAATCCAGGAAGTATGTCAGGCATAACCTACCGTTATCATTCACAAAGATACGTAAACAACTGGAACTGAGAGATTTCACTATGGTGTATATGTCTATTATGTAAATTGTCAGGTATCACTGATTCTGTCTAGTGAAACCATACAATACAGTTGAGCTACATAAATCAAAATATCACCAGTCAGATTGCCTTTCTCTCCTCCAAGCGCTAAACAAACCATGCACATCCAAGAATAGATAAAAAAAAAAAATAGATAAAAAAGTCTCTCTGCCAACTGATGGTAGTCACTTCAGTAATTTTCTAGAATGAAAATACATCAAGCCTTGCAGCTAGTATATTTTATCTAATTGAGCGTCTGCTGCAGCAGTAATCAAGCTTAGTAAGTATAGAAAACGTAGTACACAACCAGCCATACTAATGTAAAGAATCTATAGCACTCCATAAGTCTCTACCCAACAAACCTTTAGTTCCTTTTGTCAGGTCTCTCATTCTAGCACTAGACATTTTCTCTCTTCCCAGAACAATTAAATCAACCACCAAATGTTGCACAGCTTCCCACATGTATAAATAACAGACGTGATTGATGAAGGACAGTCACAAATATACTGCAGAGTGATGACGATGACAATGACAATGATAGTGATGATGACTCATGTTGACGATAAATGATGATGTTGATGAGAATAATGTATCATAGAAGTTTATCCCAGTTAAAATCGTCTTCAATATCATCCCGAAGCTGGTACTGTGCTGTCTGTGTTGGCTGAACAATAACAGCCTGTGATGGCCGTGGACTGTATCCTCCTCCCTGAAACACAAAATGGTAGTGATAAAGAGTGATAGTCTTATAATGAATTGTTAACTTCTATTATCTTTTGTTATAACTGCACAAATAACCCATACGTAAGTTTTTTTTTTTTCTGTCAACAATCATTAATAACATGTGTGAACTGTGAGGACAAACCTGATACAATTAGTAGGGGAGGTAATCTCTATATCACAAGTTGATGCCAAGAGAAGTTCCTTTATATTTTCATTTCTTAGATTTCGGCCTTAACATTCCAACCAGACAAAGTTGCTTGAAAAACAAAGGACAAACTTGCAGCATCCATTGACATAAACGGAATAGTGAAATTTCTTTGTAAGGACAAAGACATTGGGGTAATGAATGACATAGATTTAAAACTGATCTGTGAGAAAGTTGATAGGAAGATTATTGTAGATTGAATAATGACCTTTGAAGTGGTTAATGGGAAGGTTACATACCGAAAACCCGAGGCTGATATGTGTGAAGGTTGATGGGAAGGTTACATGTGTAGATCAAAGACTGATTTTTAGAAAGATGATGGAAGGTTACAAATAATAGACTGAGGACTGATCTGTGGAGCAGTTGATGGAAGGTACATACTGAAGATAGCTGGCTGATCCTCTGGGAGGTTGATGAGAAAATTATGTACCACTAAGCAAGGACTGATGTGTGGGGCAGTTGATGTAAAGTTACATTCTGTTGAGTGCAGACTGATCTCCCGAGAGATTGATGGCAAGATACATATTGTAGAATGAAGACTGACCTTGAGGGAGGTAGATGGGGAAATTACTCACCGTGGACCGTGGACTGATCTGTGGGGATGCTGATGTAGATGTGATTGGAAGAGTGAGGTGAGATCCACTGCTATTATTCAATGATGTGATTGTCGAGTTTGTATCAGAGTTGTAGTCCTGTTTAACATTAACTGAAAATAAAAAAAGAAATAAACAAAAATGTATCGCTTGTCTGGATATTTAAGTCAATATGCCATTTAAAATACAGAATATGTCACTGTAAATAGTGTACTCTCTCAGTTTTTGAAGCAGAATCAAGGATATGAGGATATAGCAATACATATCTTTTAATCCTGTGGACAGAAACTCATAAAACTTTGAAAAGATGCCTCAAAATTAAAGAATCTTACATATTCTTATTTTTAATCATAGCGACATTATCATTGTCCTATGAAATTGATGACTATACTTTGCTTCATTATTACCCCACATAAGATGATGATGCCACCCATTGTGAGTAGTGTCATAGTGTTAGCTTTCTCTCCCATGTGACACAGTTAAATCATTCCTAGTAATCATGCGAGAAATTTATCCTTCATACCAGTTAATGGATTACTGGGTGGAGTTTGTGGCAGACTTGTTGTAGATTGGTTGAAGAAGTTATTTAAAGATGAAGCAAGGTCCTGGAACTGTTCTGGATTAAGAGACCAGTTAGAATGGTCAGCATTTTTCATTGTGTCCATCAGACCTAGAAATAAAAATTACAATTTACATACTCAGTTACCATCAGCCATGAGTTCAAATAATTGAATTACATATTCTTCCATGTTGTATAAAAATGCACTTCAGCAGCATACAGGTTTTAAGTTAAAAATGTACAAGTACAGAATGTTGTGTTAACACCTCCATAAAAAATAATGATTTTTCAGTAATTCTGTAGACGCTTATTGTAAAACAATCAGGGGCATTTAAAGAGGTATCTCAAATATGAAATAAATTGTTTGATCAGTTAAAACTGACTAAATCTTTAACCATTACATTAATTTGTAAACCCAGTAATTATATAACAATACCATTTAACAAATCAATTTTTGTTGTGACTGATTAAGTAGTTTGGGAGGAGATGATATGATGAGCCAAGGTTTTTTAACAATGAGCGACCTGATTTTGTAAGCATGGTAAATATTTTGAAACAAAACTGAGATGCTCATCCTACAGTATATACAGTACCAATAAGTAACCACTGTAAGTCCTGGTTAACAATAACAGTATATATTCTGGTCTGTAAACTTATCCTATCACTGTACATTTCTTTCCTTGAAATTACTCGACAGTTTTTCTAGTACTTCATACAACACCAGGAAACTGAAAAAAGAATGACTTACCTTGAAATTGAGATATATCAATATTTTGGAAGTCATAGTTTCCTGATCCTGCCAAACGCAGACTTTCCTTTAGTGTGTCCACATTTTGAAGCCAATCTGTCAGGGAGCCTCCTAGTGATGTAGTTTGACCTAGAATGACAGGAAAGATAGATGCAAACTTATCAGCTACAAACTGTCCCATACTCCTATTTATAAATGACCTGATTATCACTATAAACAAAGATAATCCTTGAAGAAGGTGATGGTTTTTCTACTTTTAAACTAAAACCGATGATTTTGAACATATTTTGATAAACCAAAAAGCCCTGAAGGTACTTTCTTCGCAAACATTTTTATTTCACCTTCCTATTTGGTTCTGCAAACATAAAAATGTTGAAATGTTGATTTGATCTACCAGCCCATTGACAGCTAAGGCCTTTAGGACCAGACTATATGAATTGAAGTAAAAGAAAGGAAAAACTAATATAAAGTTAAAACGAAAGAAATGAATTAATTATATACAGTATATTTTATAATAAAAAATGAGCTAACAATGGTGTTGGTTCATAAAAAGAATGATTCAAAATTTATTAAAAACACTTGTTAAAGTCTCAATAAGCGTTTTGAGAATGTGTGCAGTTGTTTACATAGTTGTACATAAACAATTTCATAAAAAAAATGGTTATTATTGCATCATGAAAAGTTGAAGACAGAAAATGAAGAAAAATGAGATTAATCCGTAGAAATCGTAAAGCTTTATTTATAGCAAAACTCAAAAGGGAGTAGAATTTGTCCTTTAATACATGGTACAACATCAAGTCACAAGGTCTCTTGGACTTCGAAAAGAAAAGGTAGCCGATGTCATTTATCCCCTGTGACATAGAAATTTCATGAAGAAATTTCACAACTCTTAGTCCAAGAAAGTTACTTAATACATATAGCTATTGCTTTCTTATTAAGTAAGAATTGGTTTGAGGATTTTAACATATTTGACCCCAGTGACCTTGAAAGTGGGTCAAGGCCACTCATTCTGCCTCTTGCTGGCCGGACATCATTGTTGTTTAATTAAATGAGAGAAAATGACAATGGTTAACAGAAAAAGATGCCAGATAAAGAAGAAATGCTTCGTCATAGCTTGATTATGAAATCATTGACCTGAGTTGACGATTTATCATAATGTAGTACTATTCTAAACACAAAGGTAAAATATATGTATTTCCAAGCAAACTGTTGCAACTGAATACACAAATCTCATGCTTGATAAAGCAAAATAATCAAGCAAAATAACCTGGCAAAGTAAGGTATTTCCCTTCTATAAAATATTTAAGCTTCCACAGGTAATGCTTCACAATAAGAAGCCTTTTAAAAGCTGTGGATATTTAGTTATCAAAACAAGTCAGTTATTGTGAAAATCTACCTCTTGAACTGACAGTATTAAACATACAATAATTATCTTTGTTTAGAACTTTATGTTAGTTATTGAGTAAAAGGTTTATGATTCACTATGATAATACCCAAATTATTCAGGATATATTTCGCTATAAAGATCTCATAATTTACTGTATATATGGATTGTTTGTTACTGAAATGTTCAGATCTTTATATACTGATACAGGAGTGAAGTCAATCATGATGAAGTTTTCAGGAAAAAAAATCCAAGGTGTCAGTGACATAACAGGTAGTGAGTCATCATTTGTAGTCATGGAGAGCGAAGAGTGACAAAACTAGTATAGATCTAAAACCAAACACTGCTGGTTAACAGGTGTATAATCAAGAAGGAAATCACACAATGTAAATACAGGCAACAGAAAGAGTGACAGGTTGATTTTATACCTACCTGGACAATAACAATTTCTTACTCTCAAACTTTTAAAATCTAAAATCCACACTGAGAGTGACAATTGATATGCAAAACATAAATTAACAATTCTCCTAAAAGAATGGAAAAATCTCTATTATGTAAAGTTAGAAGGTGTGAGGTTGATATATATATATATTTTTTTTTTTCGCAAATACACATATTTAATTAATCTCTTTTTTGCTACAAATCAATTCCATATTGCATTTAGATTTAACATAAGTACTTATATGTGAGAAAAAGCAGCTTTCAGCTTATTGTAATGATTACTCCCCAAGTAAAACATTAGTTTGACTGCAAGTGGTTTAGATGGAACAATAACAAGTGAATGGACCGAATGATGGGTTACAGATGCCAAAAGGTTAGCAGTGTTCTAAAGTACAAAGCAGTGTCTTGGTATGTAGCAAAGGTCATGACCTTTACCTAGGTTCGCAGATCCATTCAAGAGCTTATTAATGTCAGGTTCTGTCAAAGAATCGGTGTTTCCTTGTCCTACAATAAACACACAGTTGTAAGTAAATATTTGTCTATGTAATTATCTATCCTTGCCAAGGAATCACCTAATTAATGTTACTTTTCAATTTAAAATTCATCTAATCAAGACATATGAAAGCATTGTTTTGACAGCCTTTGCATGGCATGCAAGTCATAAGATGTGTGACTTATACCCATTTGTGAGCCTTTTGTTTCCAAATTTAGGTGATTCAAGAAAGAGTATTTATTTGACTGAACTATTGATGTACAACACTATATTTACCAAGATAAGGACTACAAGAAAACCAACTAGATATCAGATCAACAATGTACATATCACAATTAATTACAAAAGTGTTAAGAGTTAGAATCAACATCTGCACCATATGTTTCACATTTGTAGCTCCATCATTCTATAACCAAAAAACAACTTTCAGTTACGACACATACCTGTATCAAACTTCCTGGAAAGCTTGACCTTGTCAATTATCTCTTTAATCTTATCATAACCCCTGTGTCATACTTCACAGAAAAGCTTTACTTATTAATTTTCTACCTAAACTTATCATAACCTGTGTCACAGAAAAGTTTTACTTATCAATTTTCTATTTAAACAGATCATAACCTGTGTCACACTTCAGAGAAAAGCTTTATTTATCAATTATCTCTTTAAACTTATCATAACCCATGTCAAACTTCCCGTGTAAGAATCAAACAAACAAAAAATGTTAAGTCTCATTTTCTAGAGGAGAGAGAGAGGGAGAGAGGGAGAGAGAGAGAGAGAGGGAGAGAGAGAGTATTTATTTATCCTATAAAATTATGGGGCCAACACATTAACTTTTCCTCAAAGTCAGGAGGTGGGCTTATTACATTAAAATTGTTCATTTGAACATCAGTTTTATATAACTACTTGTTATCAATTTAATAGTTCGAATTTTCAAAATTGTGCTCATATGTGTGTACTTTTTAATGTATGGTTAGGTGAAAGCCTTTTCAAATCAGATTAACACATTTTAAAGCCCATTCAATTGAAACCTATTGTTTGATCATATATAATTGTATGGGACCAAAGAGATAAATGGTCGTCAGTTTGAAATGAAATAAAGATGCCATCCAATTTCTTCCACAACCAAGTCTATGATTAGACTATATAAAATTCAATAATACCTGATCCGTGATGAAGAACATAATATATATAATCTGTGACCTTAATGTAACCTTGAATGCTATATCTTTTCCAGCAACTGACATTTCAAATATTCTTTCTGACAAATCACATTTAAACTTCTATAAACTGGTAAGTTAAATTGAAAAATTGTCACGACAGGAAAGTGGCCAATCTCATGACTCTCACCCCAAACATTAGGATATCTCAAAAGAAAAGTTAACAACTTCAGAGGAGAAAAAAAATAAAAGAAGAGAGACCTCATGTAATAAAAATAAAAATACATGTATTTTGTAATTGTTTTGGGGAATACATCAATCAATGTTACATAAATCAAACAGATTAATACACAACTGATGGACTATATTCAGACTTATGCCGAACATCCAATCAAGCTCAAGATATGACATGCATACCAAGGCACCAATATAAACATTATGTCCTAAGTATCAAGAAAATCCTTCTAATAAGTAAAAAGTACTGAACTTGAAATATAAACATAAAAAAACACTGGCATCCACCTTGTAGATAATATTGTGCTCAAAATGAAACCAATTTAGGGTAGGGTATTTGCAGTTATTGTCTACATCTATTTGGTTTTGTGGTGTTAATCATGGCCTGAAATATGTAACAAAATGCATCAAAAATTTATTCGGGTATAAATTTCCCAAAATGCACTAAGTTTCCCTCCAAAACAAAAAGATGTCATGCATGTCATACCAACTCATGCATGTCTAAGCATCATACCAACTCATGCATGTCTAAGCATCATACCAACTCATGCATGTCTATCTACATCTCATACATCATGCAAGTTCAAATACACAATACAAACTTCAGGGTAAACAGTGTCTGCATATAGATCTCTATCAATAGATCCCAGACCCTCATTCTCAGCTGCATCAAGTTTTTTTTTAAAAATAAAAACATTTGCTTTTCTTGGATTTCAAAATATAATTTATAATCACAGGCTTCCTGTGGAAAATTACCATTACTAATATTGTTAATATAAAACTTGATAGTAATTTTCCTACATTGAGTGGGCCATACTATTGATCTATAAATAGAATCTAGTTCTATATATAGACATCTATAAATAGACAAGTTAGTGACCTGGTGGTCCCCCTCCGCCTTCAAACATGGATTTGTACAGACTCCTAAAGGATGCACTAAGATCTTCTATACCATGGTGGCTGTCCATAAATGTTGGCGGTGGTGGGGGAGGAGGCTGCCTATGTGTCTGGGAGGTCTGAAATAAAGAGGAATCTCAGAGATAGGTTAATGATCAACAAGATGGTTATATCATGAAAAAATGCTGTAGTATGTAAGCAACAATTAATGTCATCATTTGTGCAATTTTTTGTAGAATAAAACACAATGTTACGTCAATATCATGACTTCTTTAAATTTGTCGTGAATTGCTGATATATTGTTTAGCGCCAATATTATATTGTGTACATTATTGTTATGATGACGTCATCGAGTAGTTTTAGAAATTAGATTTGTACAAGATGACGTTGGTGTTTGTTGCTTCTGTCAATACATCGTTTTATTAGTTATTTATTCTTGAAATTGTTGGTGCCGTGACTAGGATAAAAACACAACGCAATGGAGAAGCTGAAAGCATTAAGGGTCGGGAATCAATCCACAATTACCTGTGCTTTTCATCGTATTGAAGAGTTTCTAGAAGGAGAGAATGACGAAGAAACAACACAGAGACTACTGAATAGCATCAGAAAGAAAAGAGAAATCATCGTAAAGTTAAACAAACAGATACTGGACATCGCATCGCCAGAAGAAACCGAACAGGAAGTTACGGAGACAGATGAGTATCACACAAATTTAGATATTGAACTCTGTAGATTAAAGAAACGCTTAACCGTAAATTCTCAATCTGATGCTTGTGAAATCACCAAAGTCAAACAAAATATGGAAATCAATTCAAATCTCAATCCAAATGCTAACTCATTCGTTCATCAGGAAAATGTAAGACACTCTTATCAGAATTTAAGCTCAATTACACGCTCGCATAGAAGTAACGCCAGCCAAATCAGTATGCCATTTAGTGGATATTCCTCGCACAAACTCCCAAAATTAAGCTTACCAAAGTTTTCCGGAAGTTTATTGGAGTGGCCAAGTTTTTGGGATTCCTAATTACAGTAAAGCGATCTCAATTTTTCTTGAAAGATTTGGTTAAGATCACAAAATCTCTCAAACCTATATTGTTAGAGGTATCATCACCAGAAAATACTTCACAGAGCCTGAGTGAATTTTACGTTGAGTTCTTTTGGATTGCTACTTACCCCAGTCATATTAAACAAATTGCCCGGAGAAGTGCGAAAAAATATCACCCGAGAAAATGAATCTACAAATTGGCAGTTACCAAAGTTACGGAATTGTATGTGTCATGAACTAAAAATAATGGATGCAGATTACTCTGTTGATTATGTTAACAGAAAACTATCGTACACAGCCACCTTTATTATTCGTACAAAATCTCGTAATGACTATGTGTGTTGTGTGGAGATGTACATGCCCCTGCTAACTGTCCAACCTTTACAGACGTGAATAAACGAATTGAAATTTTCAAACAGAAGAGACTTTGCTTTAATTGTTTGGGAACACATAAAATTTCAGAATGTCAGTCGGCAAAAAATGTAAAAATTGTAATGCTCGTCACCACACAAGTATCTGTAGAAAAAAATGTCGTTCCAAGGACAATCCCGTTATCAACAGAGGAAATGAAATTTCTGAAAATCAATCAAATAAATGCACAGTCAAAAAGTCAATTCAGATGCTTACCGGTACTGAAGTAATGTACACATCTGCGGAAACAGATAGTTCACACGTACTTTTGAAAACCGCGGTTGCACCAGTTTGGTTCGAAAACTGTATCGAGGGAAACATTTAATTTGACGAGGGTGCACAACACTTGTTTATAACTGAAAAGTTGGTGAAAAAGCTTGATGTGAAAAAATCGGGAACGGAAACTACATATTGCCGGATTCAGACAAAATTGAGACAAAGTGCGTCATCTCAAGTGCAGAGTAATCGAGATACAAACAGTTACAAAGGAAATGATACCGACAGACGTCTTCAAAGAACTGACTATCACAGTTTCACTTAGCGTATGCTGAACACAGATTTGCAACCTGCCTCATCTGAGAGGTTTGAAGTTAGCACACCCACTCCCGACAGGAGATTCATTTGACATGTCTATTCTAATCGGAGCAGATTATTATTGGCAAAGACCACTTTATCAGAGGAAACAGACCTACTGCTGTCCATTCGAAAATTGGATATTTACTTTCCGGTCCAGTTGGTGTCAATAATCGTTTTGCAGTTTCAAAACAAAAAGCCTTCATGTTGAATGTTGTTTTATCACATAAAAACGAAGAATGCGACCTTGAAAAGTTTTGGGAAATACAAACGCTCAGAACGGTAATACCCGAAAAATCCCAAAAGGAAACATATTTAGATGAGTACGGACAACAAGACAGTCGCAAAACGAAGAACTGCAAATGATGTAAGCTAAAGATCCAGTTATGCTACAGACATTCGGTAGCATCATTGCAGAGCAGGAACACCGAGGATTTATCGAAAAAGTGGACAAAGAGGAAAATGATGTCATGTGGTAAAACCCATTATATACCTCACCATCTCGTACGAAAAGAATCGTCTACTACACCACTGAGGATCATTTACATCTGTACTTGTTGCCAATCTTCTGACACACCAAGTTTCAATGACTTTTTGCGAAACGACCCCCCAGATTTGAATGATATTTTTTCAATATTGTTGAGGTTCAGGATGAAGAAATTTGCAGTCTCTACAGACATTGAAAAGGCTTAATGTTAAAAGGAGGATTCAATCTACGTTTATGGGCTTCTACCGACGACAAATTGAATGCCATTGCACGGGAAAACGCCGTACACAACAAAGATGACTTAGTTAAGATACTAGGATTACGTTGGAACACTAAAACTGATACTCTTTGCTTCTCTGTTAAAGAAATATCCACCGGTGAAAATCAGTTAATCACAAAAAGAGAAATATTAAAGCAATCATCGAAAATTTACGGGCAAGATGGTAATACAAGAGGTATTGAAAAACGGCTCTGACTGGGATTCTGTGCTCCCAGAGGAAATTCAGAATTTGTGGATCTAAATCAACAAAGATTTACAACGCATCAATGAAGTACAGATTCCAAGATTTTACTTTTCGGAAAATATGGATGCCATTCAGAACGAAGATGCTACATTGCACATATCCGTTGACGCCAGTAAGAAAGCGTACGGAGCCTGTCGTTATATATCACAAGGACAACAAACTAAGCTTGTCATTGCGTAAAATTGTAAAACCTTTCGTGAGACACCGCGTTATGGAAATTCAAAGTCTAACCAAAAACAATTCATGGATGTATTGACCTACAAACGACAACCCGGCATATATTCTTTCCAGAGGAACTACATGGAAACAGTTCGCAAACAATGCTCTTTGGAACAACGATCTGAGATGGATACATAACGAAGGAAAATGGCCATGCTGGAATTCACCGGAAAGTCACATTTTAACGACAATGGAAATCATGGATGTCGGACGCAGGGATGGGAGCCATACTACTAAAGTAAACTCAAAGGACAAGATTGTAACAAATGCAGAAGGTGTAATAAATTTGGAAAGATTTTCCACCCTTACCAGAGTGCTTCGTGTAACGGCTTACGTCAAGTGATTTATTGAAAATTGCAAAAAGCCACATGAAAGATCAACCAGACCATTTTCAACAACGGAAATTCACAATGCAAGGTTTACTTGGATAGAAAGTGTACAAAACAGTGAATACAGAACTGTAAGAGAAACTTTAAGTTCAAAGTCAAACAACGCGCTGATATGACAGCTTAGGCTTTATCTAGATGAAGAGAAATTCATTCATTGTGGAGGTCGCATAAACAACGCCCCACTTCCTTTTGACGTGAAATTTCCGTACTTACTTCCTCAAAAGCATAGATTTAAGACTTTTGATTATGGACACACATGAAAGAAATATGCATGCCAGTAAAGGAACAACAATCACGCTGTTACCTCAGAAATTCTGGAACCAAGCTGCATGTCAGGCTGTTGGAAATGTGATAAAGAACTGCGTGATATGCAAGAAAATTACAGGAAACATATACTCTACACCAGAACAAGGATCGTGTATGTGATGATTTTCCATTCTTGGTTACAGGTGTTGATTTAACGGGAGCATTACACATTAAGGAAAATGGACAGGACAGAAAAGCCAACATTTGTCTCTTCAGGTGCGCAAACATGTGTGCTTTTCATCTCGAACTAGTGAAGGATTTATCCGAAGAAATCTTTTTATTAGCATTTAGACGGTTCATAAGTAGGAAATCAAAACCACAGGTTATGATATCAGACAATGCAAAAACATTTTAAGCAGCATCTCAAAAACTTGGGAGAATCGAACACATTGAAAGATAATTTCCGATTATATAGTACTACGTGGAAGTTCATTCCCATGGGAGCACCTTGGTATGGAGGGTTCTGGGAACATTTAGCTGGACTCACCAAGACTTGCTTAAAGAAAGTTCTCGGATGTGCATTTGTCACCTATGATACGCTGACTACCATTGTAACAGATATGGAAGCAACTATGAATGATCGTCCTCTAACTTATGTTAACTCTAACATAGACCATTTATCACCGTTGACACCATCGCAGCTGCTATACGGAAGACAGGTCAGTTCATTGTTATATCCTGTACACAACGAAACGTCGACGATATATTCAAAGAACAGTCACATGAGAAACTCAACAAACAGTTGGAAAGAATATGTCTACTCATTGACCAATTCTGGAACAGATGGCGGCATGAATACCTCACTTCTTTAAGAGAGTTTTACTGAGTATCTGGAAAGCCGAAGGACAATGTGATACGGAAGGGAGATGTAGTTCTAGTTCATGACGACTGTGTTTCGAGGTTATCCTGGAAACTTGCCATGGTGGAAGATCTTGTGTGTGGTAAAGACAGACTTGTGTGTTCTGCCGTAATCAGAACAAAAAACGGTACAACCAACAGACCGATTCAAAAACTCATTCCATTAGAACATTGTGATAAGAAAATTCCACATCCCAGCAGAAGTAAACCTTTAAATTAACATTGACAATTTGAATTGATCTCTTATTGAATCTTTAAGAACAATATTATCTTTATAATTTGCTTCGTTATATTAATTGAGTTAATGATATGTACTACGTTTTTTTTTATAATTATTGAGTTAAAACATAAATGTTTTATTTTCGCGCGCCCCCAGGATGTCGTGAATCGCTGATATATTGTTTAGCGCCGATATTATAGTGTACACATATATTGTAACGTTACTGTTATGATGACGTCATCGAGCAGTTTTAGAAATTAGATTTGTATCAAGATGACGTTGGTGTTTGTTGCTTCTGTCAATATATCATTTTATTAGTTATTTATCCTCGAAAAAATTCATTCTTTATTTTGTTATGATTTTGGCAGTTTCTTTGATTAAAATCTTTTCATCAATCTGCCGGAACCAGGTAAATCCAAAGTTTTAATATACTTAACAATATTAAATAATTCTTATGAACACCCATCCCTTCTAACTAACACACTTAATGGCTGATATGTGTACCTAACAAATTAAGAGGGGATGAAGCCTTTTTGTGATTAACATTCTGATACTATGGACTATTAATCAGGACCGGAGACAATGAATACTTCTTACTCTAAGATTGTGGAATCATTTCACCATACTCCACATTTCTATCACATCCATTTACTTCTAATGGAAATGAGTGTGTAGCCGTGTTATATCCTATGATGTTAATGTTACCTGGCTGTTAGGTGAGACAGGCAATGCACATGCAGTTACCTGTACATTGAGTGTTGGACCAGAATTCATACTGCTGGGACTAAGGCTCAGACCAGACTCCGGACTGTATGGAGAACCCTGAAACACAAATCTTTAAAAATACACATGTGGTCCTAATCTTGTCTAATTAGACTCTGGACTACAGGGAGAACCCTGAAACACAGACCATCCAAACACAACATATGTGGTCCAAATCTTGTACTAATTAGACTCTGGACTACAGGGGGAAATGCTAAGCTGATACACAATCATTACACACATTGTCCAAAACTTGTAATGATTAAACTCTGGACAGTAGATAGAACTCTGAAACAGGGTTTTCAAACAGTAAAACACTGGTCAATATAATAACAAGCTGTCAGGTCATCCCTGGATATAATCTAACATCAGCGTTTGACTTTCATGCTTCACTGAAAATGTCTAGCTTCAGTTTATATAACTAGCTAATTATAAAGGCCTACACTTGTGTACACATGTACAGCCACAAAGATCAATATAACTGAAAAGGGGAACCCCCATCAAACCATGGCCACTTCCACACAACTATACAAGCTAAATCAAAGGGATATCAACCTTCAATACAATCAGTTCAAGGCACAGAATCATTTCATTTGAACTATATTCTGCAATTTGGATCAATACAGAACATCAATATGTTGGCTGAAAGTATAGACATAGTGAGAAGGCTAGCTGCTGTGCATGTAATATTAATGGCTTACACCACCAGCAAATCAATTTGCCGGGTGGTTTGTCAGTCAGGTGCTTCATGTGGCACATCTATTTTATCTATCCTCTTTCTTGCACAAATTTACATGTCTCAATGGCCCTTACCTAAACATGTGCAGTGCAGAAATCATTGAAAACAGATTTCAGTTATTAAAAAAAAAAAATTTTTAGTCAACATGCAAATTTCTAAAGGAAAAATAGATTCATCTCTTACTAGTAAATCTTGAATTAAAACATCTATCAACTGTTCACAAATACATAAATGTATGTGTAAAAGTTTTAACAGTAGAACAAATTCAACAATCTAGTCCTGAAGATTGAGATGCCTCACATTTAATTACGGTAAAACATTGTTAAGTTGAACTCTTTGGGAGTATGTCAATAGTTTGAGGAATAGGGAATGTTTGAAAAGTAAGAGGTTAGTCATAGATCATCAGACAGCCATCATCCGAGAACATCCAGTGTCTGTGAATGATGAGTTCAATATGTTTACTATTTACATCAATCCAATATCAATAATTGTTCTCAGGTTTTGACAAACCAATTATTTTGAAGTCTTGAATTTCATTATGGAGAAATGTGTGAAAATAATCATTGATATCAATGTTCATCAACAGCAAGGCTTAACATGCAAAAAGCATGTCGCTATTAATAGATGAAAGAATGATGAGTACTTCAAGAGTCTCATCTGCTAAAAGAATCTGTAAAAGGAATAGAAGAATGTTTTGACTATTTTTACCAAACCCTCCCATTAAATATGTGCCATTACATAATTTTGCATTACACTAATAAACCAATATCTATTTGAATAGTGGTTGTTTTTCTCTTGTAGGTATCTAAAATATAGATCCATATAAAACTTCCTGATAAAACAATTATCTTGTGTAGCAGATGGCAGTACGTAATAATGCCACTGTTTATCATGTAATTGGTGTAATTGGATGGGGATAGAAATGACTTCAAGGAATGAGGGGTATTTGAGGAATAATGGTTTGAGAAATCTGAGGCTAAATCAGTCTCGACTAAGCAATCAGTTTGATGAAAAGGATATATTCAAGTAATGCATATTCAATCATTCAGAAAAAAAAAAATCCCCATGTGTCAATGTATGGTATTGTATTACATTATTATTGGGATCAAAGAATGGATGTAATAATCAGACAAATGTAATAATTAGACTGCAACTGCTTTAGTTTATGAAAATTAGAAGTATATACCAGGACAATAACCCCACTTTCTCAATAGTCTTTATTTATTTATTACATTTATAGCTATAAAGTAAGCAGCCATATCTCCACATCAATTTAAGTCATCTATCTGTTCAATTCTTTCACACTGTGTTACTTTTTCCTTTAATTTGTTTGTTTCAGGCATAACAGTGATTAACTACATTTCAAAGATTTCCTAACTACATTCAGTGACCACATACATCGCAAACCATTTTATGAGCACAAACATGTTAGACATTCGTGACAAAATCTCATAAAATTGTTCTGTGATATGTCAACACATCTACATCATAAACTAAAGTCCAACAAAATACAGAGTTTTAACAAAATATTCAGGCATCAAAATGTCACCTTATGTATACATAATTGTCAATATTTATCAATTCAGCAATGAGAACAGTTCCTTTACCTTAGTCACTTCCATCCACAATATCTGCACTAGTTTTCTGCCGGAACCATAACTCTTATTTCATCTTAGTTAAAAATGGCTAGGTTGGTATACCATATTTTTACTGCAGAATTGCTTATTGCTTAGCGCATCAATTCAAACTTACAAACATCTCTGTCCCTTAACTGGTACTACACCTGATATAATTTATTGTACTATTTCCATTATGAAAAGCTGTATAATTCTACAGTTAAGTACAATAACTTTTATACTATGAATTGTTGTATAACACTTGGCAACCTTAACTTAATCATGTTCTTCAAACTATTTTGTGCTTGATATTATTTTAACAATATTATTCCACCTGATGTTTGAGATGAAAACTTTATGTAGTGCCTATATGGAGATCAGAATCGATTCATAACTGACCTGGCACACCAACTTCTGAAATTACATGTATTGTCCTTACCCGATCTGAGAGGATAAGCTTGCGTTTTTTGTGTCTTGCAGGAAGGGGGTCATCTGGAGGATTACTGTCTATTGCCCAATAGGATCCCTGTGCAAAAGTTAAAACATAAAATTATCATCATTTGACATAGAAGTTTACATTGAAGATGCCCTAGTTGGACAATGAACAAGATTTTCTTAGGTCAATACATCAAAGTGTATCTAGGTTACTTAAGCCTTCTCATAACCATTACATATCCCTTTTTATTAATCAACAGATTTCAAGATTTCCAGATATATGATTATAATGCTCGTTTTGCTTTGTCATGAAACAATTTTTTTCTCTTCTTAAATTCAGTGAATTCATATAATTATTTCAATATAGAAATTAAATCTAGGCCCTGTGTAATCTATACATCTGATTGTACTATGTACATTCCTATTTTGTTGATCTAACACCTAAGGTCAACCCTATGCATTTCTGTTAATCCATAATCAAGTATAGGGTATATGTATAGGCTTAGCCTAAAACATGGACAAACCCTGGCCACATCGACAGGAACATACACAACACATTGTTCCTTGTCATACATTTTCACTGCTTAACACATTAATTGACTTAGTAACACGATACTTGTTGCTGTGATGTATTGATTTACGATTTTTGAATTTATCAAATCAAATGCCAGTTACAATGCGCATGAAAACTACAGAACTTGACAAGAGCTTAATTATGATCATCAACTTATCCAACCCATCATATCGCATGCTTAATTAACATACAGTTCATTACCATAATGAAGTTGGTAGACATTTGAGAAATCTTGCAGTGAGAAGAAATTATAGTGACACACTTGATAAATATACTATACCGCAAACTTGAAATTATACCATTTTGGAGCACCAAACCTCCAACACTGAGGTCACTTTTAATACCAATGGCAAACCTGATGTGAGTCCTTTAATTTCTCTTCTTTTGTTTTATATATGTAACAGAGGTCATTTTTCATCTCAATGCCTCCGCTAGGAATCGAACCCGGGACCCCTGGCTTACTAGTCTGACACTCAACCAATCGAGCTAAAGAGAAGTTCTCTCTAGCCGAGTGGAATATTGCGGCTAGTATTTTACCAAGGTTACATACTCCCCCTCCAGGAAATAACTTGTCCTCGAGTTTCCAGGGGTTACAGCAATGCTGATGGGGCATGGCTAAGTATTATTCCCGGGTCCCTACATGGGCGCCAATGTAACAGAGGTCATTTTTCATCTCAATGCCTCCGCTAGGAATCGAACCCGGGACCCCTGGCTTACTAGTCTGACGCTCAACCAATTGAGCTCAAGAGAAGTTCTCTCTTGCCGAGTGGTATATTGCGGCTAGTATTTTACCAGGGTTACATATTCCCCCTCCAGGAAATAACTCATCCTCGAGTTTCCAGGGGTCACAGCGAAGCCGGTGGGGCATGGCTAAGTACTAATCCCGGGTCCCTACATGGGCGCCAATGTAACAGAGGTCATTTTTCATCTCAATGCCTCCGCTAGGAATTGAACCCGGAACCCCTGGCTTACTAGTCTGACGCTCAACCAATCGAGCTAAAGAGAAGTTCTCTCTAGCCGAGTGGTATATTGCAGCTAGTATTTTACCAGGGTTACATATATATATATATATATATATACACGAGAAGAGTTTGTAAAGAAACAATGCTTTTTTAGGGCTTTTGAGGCCAATAATAGAATCCATTCCCTATGAAATTATTTTATAATTAAATAAAAATCCCTGCAGTAAGGAACTTTTGATTCAAAAGGATTTATTCTGTAAAGGTGGCACCATATCATATTCTAGTTCTTTTATTACACTTTGCCAATTAAACCCAGTTCTATTTCTAGATCTGTTGACATACATGACTCAGGTTCAAAGTACTTGTAATGATGATGTGAAAGTTCTTCATAGAATGACTACCAACAATAGAAAGACATCCATCCAAGATTGCTGACAATGGATTTCATCAGATTGATTTTTGCCTATCTATTGTGAAGTAAGACAAGTCCCTAATTCATGGAATTTTTATTCCAGTACCAATATTATATGAATAACATATGTACAGCTCCTAAGTAAAAATCCATACTTACTTTTCCTGGGTCATCTTTAGATCTGGGCACTTTTAAGAAGCATTTATTTAATGATAAATTATGCCGTATGGAATTCTGAAAAAAAAAAAAAAAACTATTCAAATCCACAAGTTCATGTACAGATTATTTAAATCATACCAAGGTGAATTGTAAATATATCGCACAATAATTCTGACTAAAACATGTCACTAACATGTCTAAAACCTATACCCAACACCTTACGCTGCCCTTTTCTGCTCTACTGTTATGCAATACAGGAAAGGTCATAGCTAAAGGCAAAGATAGGGATCTGACTTCTGTAACAGCTCCACTCTATGATAAACATCGAAGGTCATCAACCACTCATACTTTATATTTAAATTGTGTATATTATATACATACACATCTAGCATCACTATCATTCCATTGATAAAGAAACCCACTAACAGGGCTGCACTAATGCTCACCTTCATGTCAAATACCAGTCACAAAAAATCATTCATTTACACATGTAGTAATAATACAAATAAACTTTACATTATTAAAGAGATTAAAATACTTTCTTCATAAAATTATAAGTTTCTTTGCTCAAAAAATATTTGCAGTAATCAAATAGAAAGACAATAATCAATCTACCATACCGTACTCTATTTCATAATTGGTACAACATTACAGGTGTGCTCAAGGTAATTAAGGGAACTGGTGAACTTCATTTGTGATAAAACTCCAGTACATATAGCTACAGAGAGAATACAAGGTCAGTGTCTTAAAATATACTCAACGAAAAAAGAAAGGTTAACATGTTTCCTTGGCGAATACCTGTAAATGAGTGAAAACAAAATGATGTTTGTGCAATATTAGAAAATGGTAATGTTTTACATTATAAAATCCAAGGGGGTTACCAAAATCATTCAAGCGTGAAAGTCTGTATTAGCGAAAGAGCTGCATGAGGTTTTCTGCGACTAACTTGTATCTTCGCTTGAATTTCATAAACATTCAAACTGACAACTGTTCCTTAGATCCTTAGGACTTAGAAATCACCGAATCTTGCTATCTATCAACTTTATCATTATGCCCCGGCTGTCACAAGTACAGAGAGAAAGGGCTGTAGGCATGATCCAGGCTGGGGAGTCTCACCGTCAAGTTGCACGGCATTTTGGTTGCAGTGTTAAGACAATTTGCCAGTTGGTAAGTCATTTAAACCAAACTGGGTCAACATCTGATTGTCCCCGAAGCGGCCAACCCCGTAAAACGACTGCCAGGGATGACTGTTGTACACGATTGATACACTTGTGCAATCGATTCGTAACCGCAGTAGAGACTACAAGGACATTGTTTGGGCATCGTGTGTCTCCCCAAACCTTCCGCAACAGGTTGAGGGCCTACCAATTGAAAGCGCGGCGTCCCTACACTGGACTCAATTTGTTGTGACGTCACCGTAATAATCAACGTAATTGGACCCGTGTTCACCGTCGTTGGGCCTTACGACAATGGAACAATGTTCTGTTTTCGGATGAGTCCAGGTTTTGTCTGCAACACAGTGACGGAAGGCGCAGATTGTGGAGGCGACAAGGGGAGCATTTTGAGAACTGCTGCGTCGCAGAACGGGACCGCTTTGGCGACGAAAGTGTAATAGTTTGGGATGGTATTTGTTGGGGACTCGTACCAGGCTTGTTGTTTAAATGGCAATTTAACCGGCATTCGATATCGGGACGAAATTTTAAGACCAGTGGTTCTGCCATTCTTAAGACGCCATGGCGTTGGTGCCATTTTTCAACAGGATAACGCACCAGCGTACATCAGTCACGTCAGCAGACCTTTCTTGCAGCAGAATAACGTACAGGTGTTAGATTGGCCATCTAAATCACCTGATTTGTCACCGATTGAGCATGTCTGGGACCTTCTTGAGCAACGCGTGAGAGAACGTCAAAATCAGCCGTCAAACTTGCAGGAGCTGACCCAAGCCTTGATCACTGAATGGAACAACATCTCTCCTCGAATTATCTGCCGCTTTATGAGTTCCATACGACAACGCTGCAATGCTGTTTACTTAGCAAACAGTGGCCATACCCATTACTAATAGTGTTACCTTTGAAATTGACCCCAACATCCTTTACAGTCGAATAAAATCAACTGAACGCAAAGTTTAATAATGAACCATGAGTGCAGTTTTATCAGAATTGATCAATTACTTTATTCGGACATAATTGGTAAGGATTTATTAAGGGGTTAATTAATTAATCACAAAATAAAGTAGTGTTACCTTTCTTTTTTTGTTTAGTATATAAGCTGTACTTTGGTGCAGGTGAAGAAAATAAAACTTTTGTCTTTCTGTCCCGAGCCAAAATACCACTCATATTTTAAGTCACGAGCAATATGTTCTATTTACCCTGCAACACTAATTGAAAACCAGACTACTGAAACTTAAAAACAGTCTTACTGTTCAATCTGTGTTTACTCGACGTTGATGTTATGCTAAATTTTGCCTGATGTAATTGCTCTGCACAGATATAAGTTCCAAACTTCATCTGATAAAGCAGCGATTTTATGAATTTTCATAAATCAAAATGTTCCTTACAACATGTAACTTCGTTTATTTCAACAACTATTCATATTTCTAAATGTAATATTTAGGTAAATTAAGTAAAAAGAGGAAATCTGTTGAATCACTGCATGTGCTGAAATACAGCTGTTTTCTGTCACTGCCGAATACAGCAAATATATATGTGGCAGTTGTATTGAAACAATGGCAGTGCCAGTTGCAAGATAAATAATTACACTCTTGTTGACACAGGAATGCAAATGATAGTGCATCCAATCTGATGAGTTTCTTGAAAAGATTTTACATTTGTTGTAGTTTGTGTTTTTTACAGCAAAAACAAAAATGCAAAGAAAGAGGAAATAATAAGTACCACTTGTGCATGTAAAAATTTTCTTTAGACATGCTTTCATTTATGATATCTGTAGACATTCTTTTTCTAAATTGAATCTCAAAGTCTTACAATTTTCTTTTATGGCAATGTCATTTAAAAGCATTGGATTATTTGTTAATATTGAATTAAAACAAGACTTTTTAAAAATTATGTATGCACACATGTACAACTGCAAATATCAATCAAAGGGTAACAGGAAAATGCTATAGTTAAGCTTTAAAGCAGCTATTACCTTAGATTTCAACATCAGGAAAAGGAGAATTTGGCTTATGAATAATAAAATATATCCGTAATAAAGGGATACACATGCCTATAATGTCAAATTTGTTGTTTTTGTACACATTTTCGGCATCTGACCATTGTTTATCATGCCTATTGTTTATAAACATGTTCACACTCGGTTTATTACAAGGAAGCCGAGTGGGTCACATGGTTTGTCACATCATTTATATTTGATGCAAAGAAAAAATGGATGACGCGGTAAACAAATGCACATGTCTTGTGTATGACACTTGCTTTTGCACTTTTCTGCTAATTCTTGTTTGCACTAAATGATTCTATAGTGTTATAATATGTAATTTTTAACAATCAATCTTAGTAATTCGTTTTGTTTTGGCTTTGTCATGTGAGAATTATCTATGTCAATTGCGGGCGCTAAATTAGTGGGGCCCCAAAGGGGGTAAATACAATCGGAAAAAAAAAAAAAATCATTGTGCAGAAATGCACAGAAATTGATACTTTGTCTGTACACATTAATAGATATTGCACTGTTTATTATGAAGGTTATGTTTATCATCATGGTTGTTATTCTTACAGTGACACAAGTACTGTCATATTTTTACACTTTGAACAAATACCCCCAATTGGGCCCCACTTTGCAGTCAACAACAAACACATGCTGTAGATAGTAAATTCAAACGAATAACACAACTATTTTCATTCAACATTTATCAGAAAACACCTTTAGTAGTGTTGTTCATAACATATTCACGTGTCAAACATTCGATATTGGATATAATCAATGACAGGCAGATAGGTAATAATTATAGGGCTAACGTTAAGCTAACCAGTCAAGCAGCAGCTTCGCAAATTCCGAATCCGTATTCAGTCCAAGATCCTCCTTCATCTTTCACCATCTATTGATCTCCTGTCTAATATAAATTCTTGTCCGTCCTCTTTTCTGGTCTGACTCCTTCCTCTTACGCTTTCAGACACTTTCTGTAAGGTAACTTTAAAGCCCCAATATACGTAACATTCACCAAACATTTAGTGTAGAATCACACATAATTATTGAGATATTCTCTAAGATGTAGTTAAAATTAAGTTATTCAAACAATAGTTTCCATGACTTTGTGCATTAAGTATTGATATATGAGCAGTTGAAACTCGCTATTTGTAAACACACCTCCATTTTAAACACGCCGCCATCGAAATTACGATTGTTGCCGAACCACGTCGGAAAGTTCATGACCTGATCTCGCGAGAGTTGAGGTTTCTACTTATAGAGGAAGCACATGCAGATATGTCTTCGGTAAGTTTTTGTTTACAAACATTGTTTGCAAAGTCTTGTCGTGGACTTGAGGTATTCCTGTGATAAACATTCGTTTTTTGGGAAATTATTAGAAGGAATAATTAGTTTAGAAACGATACAACGCACAATTATAACGTAAGAATTCAGAACTGGCCTGATGTATGATTGGAAAAAAGGAAGCGACTGGTGAACATCTGTACTGGGTCTGCCATGTTTACACACCAGAATATGCGCATGCGCAATGTCATCGCTACGAGCGGTAATGTATGAATTATTGTGGGTCCCACATTGTTTATTTTCCGATTTTTTCAATTTTTATTCAAATTGAAAACAGTCAGTTTTATTTTCTTTGATTAAAGGAAAGTCTTTGTTTTGTTACATATATTACGGGGAAAATAAGATAAAGTTTGTTTTTATAGTGATTTTTACGTATATTGGGGCTTTAAGGTCCTCGTCGCTTTTTCGTATTTGCGTCTGCCATATTGCTTCTTTCTAGACTTATACGTATGCACAGAATCAGGGTTACGAGCAGTAATGTATGAATTATATCAAGAACGCACTGTTTACATTCTTTATATTTTAGATATCAATTAAAATGCTTGCATTGAGTTTTAATTTTAGTAATCAACAGAAAGGCTCAGTTTCGTAACATACTATTGAAAAAATAGAATATTTTATATTGTTTTCTTTTAGTATTCATGTTATGTCAGATAATATACTATACAAAATCTTGTCAAATGAAAACAAAAGAATAGCAACTTTGTTTGATGGTCAATTCTTCGCATATGCAGGTAATCGTGAAATTTATTTGTAAAAGTGTCATAGTGTTCTGTGTTATAAAAAATATTTATGCAATATGAGGTTTAAACTTCACCTGGTCTTGTAAATTATTAAGTAGAATTACAGAGGATACAGAAGATGCTCCATCTTTTACATTCATTGTATTACTACTTTCTGTGATGGGACTCTACAGAATACTTCTGGGTATATATCCATCTTGTTATTCCTATAAGATCTATGACCAAAGACATTGATTCTCTCGAACTCCATCAGCATGACAGTTTTTATTTAGTAGTACTGAATTTCAATCGTAAGTCTTTTTTACAGATTTAAGTTGAACATTTTCACAGCATCGAACAGGGAATGAAACTGTTCACAGATAGTGGGACCACTGATCATGAAAGTCAGATGCTGATTGTGTCTACCTTAACAACAGATAGAACCAACATGTTATAGTAATAGTACAGAACTAAATGTCAATGCCTGCTGGTCTGTGACATAAAAGGTAAATAATATTTAACCAGTGATAATATGACAGGAGGATATATAGAGTAAAAATACTGTAGTGATTACATACATGTATGATATAATACTAAATCACTATATGATTGAAACTTTCACTGATGGTTTGCCGCTGAAAATTTGAGGAGTTTGTACCCTAATTCTGGGGTAACATCGAAACACTGAAATGACACCAGAAAAAGCGGAAACTAGGGTTTAAAGAAATTTACTTAGATTGATAGTCTAAAGCATTTTAATGTTTTCAAAATCTGCCCCCACATTGTATCACAAGAAAATGAACACACAGTAATTGCATTTGGCATCGTTCCTGATTAAACCTTGCTTGTTATCATGACGTGACCTATTCTCAAAACTTAACCGAACCAATCCAGCGACATTTAACATTGCAACGAGTACACAACAGGAAGCTTAGGTGGTACTCAGTATCCTTGTAGATGTCAACACCCATGCCTTTCGCGATTCCTCTAATGTTATTATATGTGCAGGCTACCATTCGCCTTATTCAATCGCCTTATTTTAACTGATCAGCATATTGCACAATATCCTCATCAACTCACCTTCCAACCATTCCCGGCCTCTTTATAATATGGAAAGTTATCACATATCCATTGATATATTTCACTTAAGGTCATTTTCTTTCTCGGTGAACTATTAACAGCGAATGTGATTAAATTAGCGTAGCTGTAAGGAGGTTTTCCGTCTCTTTGACCAGTCACTTCGTTTTGCTCTAAAGTTGCACTCGTATCTAATGGTGAATTCGGTCCTTTTCGTAAAGCAACATGTCCACAACTTCCCTTTGCTAATGCACTACTAGTTGATCCTTCTTTTCCGACAGCAGCTCCAGCCATCGCGCCCCCAACAGTTAACCGCGGAAGCCAGTCCATGGCCGTGAGAGAACTCTCCAGGTCCGCCATCTTGGTTATTTGGATTCCATCGACCGCTTCACCTATGACGAAATCGCGCATTGATATCTGTGTCAGATATCAACATTTTTCGGGTATATTTTACAGTATTTTCATATTTTCTTACTCGAAGGGTTTTTTATTTCAAATATATTCATTGGTATCGTATTTCTAACATATGTCTATCAACAAAACACAAGGCATGTTTTGTTCAATTTTTGATCGCGTAGTTATGAGACTATTTGCCGCCATTTGGCTTCATTACCCCCAGCAGTGTTGCATAGCAGCGCAAAGTGCCCTCTATGATCATTTCTCAGCAGTTTCATTTAGCCAAAGGTGAAAATGAAAGTAGAACGTAATATTTTGTAAAGTCGCGAATACTGAAAAAATGAGCCCTAAATAGCAAAAACGGAAAGTAAAGAATTACTTGACTGCTTTTCCAATCAACTTTTCAGGGAATTATGTATTATACATGTATATATCAAAGTTCCGATTTACGTCAATTAATACCGAACAGATTAAAGTCGTTGGTTTTATCAGTGAATGGATTTGAGAAAACTATATCGTCTCCCAGTTATATCATTTAAGTTAAAGATTATGATTTATAATGAAAATATAAATAACGTCCCATACATTCGTCATAAGAGTACTGATAAGTATATAACTACAATATACGGTCCGACTGTGTTTTCAACGAAAACAAAGTTGTCGTGACTTAAGATTTTCTAATTTATTCCTATAGAATCGACACTCCTTACTCGTGTTGGTTTGTACTTCTCTAACGTGATTAAAGTTGTGTCCTATGTAGAGTAGACTCTACTTACACGTGTTGGTTTGTACTTCTCTAACGTGGTTAAAGTTGTGTCTTTGGGCAAGACAGGCATACCGTATGTTGTTCAGCAAAGTTAGGAGACCTACAAAAACAAACAAACAAACAAACAAAAACAAAACCAAAAAAAAAAAAGAACAGTGGAAAATCCAGAATGCTGATTGCTTAAACATCGAATAAAATTTTCGAGTAGAGCTTTTATTATATTTGAATTATTTTGAATTTCATCATATATTACAGCAAGTCAGCCACTTTTTCAGTGTTACATGATAGCACTTTATCGAAAAGGCCGATTTACGTCAATAGGAGTAAACCTGTTCTTGTAATTATGCGGAAAAAATTCAATACGTACGTAAATAAATACATGAAAGTAACGGTGATTAATTCTTATAGCAAGTTTGAAACAGACATATAGTTCTTACATTCAAGCAATGATATAAAATTACTTAAGGCTAATTCATAAAAGCAATTTCAACGTCACGTGTGTCAAAAGGTATCTCTTTTCTCGCGTTATTTCATTGATTTCATCCATGTACTTGCAGATCTAGGTTACATTGAAAAAGAATTTCTTCCTAAAAAGTGTCATTGAATTTTGTGCACATTGCAGGTATATCAAGAAGGATAGAATTGAACACAAGTATCGATATTTGAACTATGAAAGTACATCCCTCTACGTTAAACAATATAAAACCAAACCAAACTGCCAAAATATAATAATAAAAGGGTACATTTTACAGCGAAATCTACGGAAACTGTTATAGGCAGTTGAGAGTTAAGAGAACTGGTATTTTTTAATAAAAATTGCTAAGACGTCACAGGAATAGCATCGGGATTAATTTTCCTCTAAAATCAATTGAAATGAAAGCTGAAAAATACACGAATTAACCATGGACACATACATGATTATCCTACACGTGTTCTGTTGATTAGTGTACATCAGAGTGTTACGGACGTAGTCTAAGGTAGTCTTTAACGTTAAACATCACAGTGTCACGGACGTAGTCTTTAACGTTAAACATCACAGTGTCACGGACGTAGTCTAAGGTAGTCTTTAACGTTTAACATCACAGTGACGTTGCAGTTATCTAAACCTACATATATGGTGAGATATTTATTTTTACCGTGTGGGACTCTCCACCGCCCCCGCACTTATCCGTCTGACCTACTTTGTCCATAAACCACGTATGCGTCTGCCCTTCGAGGATCTACTTTTTGAGTGCAAGTAAAGACAGGTACAATCTTGAGGACTACGCCACACTCAATATCACAATTTACACAAAAAATCAATGTCGAATGTGAAACGACATGTTCAAGATATTTTTATCACAAGTTAATCATTCTTTGTATGAGCAATTCAGAATCATACACAAATCATAGGAGGCTAATTAAATGTAAATGGCAGTTACAAATGTATTTCTATCATAGAAGCTCAACGAACAACCACATTCTCAAACTACGAGTGTTTTCCCCCATAAAAAATTACATTTGAAAACGTAGTAAAGAGGTATCGATGTTTGTACTACTTTTTCAAAAGTAAAATTTTCTGAAAAATTCCTCATCGCTACTAAAATAGAAATTATTTGAATAATTGTCATATCAACATTGAATTAGCCCATCTGTAACACAGATGTATACTTATAATCTGTTACGTTTTGATGAGGTATCAATACAGTCTGTATTGAATTATACCAACATCAAAGACAATTAGTTATTGGGACTCTGCCCTCCATAGCGAGTCACTGGTACACAAAATCCCCATGGTCCTGTCTATCTACACACTGATCAAATAGTACAAGGCCATCGTTCGAACATGATCAGGCGACCTCACTTACTCATAAGATTTAAGTGTAAGTATTACCGTACAACCATGTCGAGGTTTTACCGTACAATCTATGTCGTGGTTTTACCGTAAAATCTATGTCGTGGTTTTACCGTAATATGTCGTGGTTTTACCGTACTATCTATGTCGTGGTTTTACCGTACAATCTATGTCGTGGTTTTACCGTACAATATATGTCGTGGTTTCTACGTACAATCTATGTCGTGGTATTGCAATACATCTATGGCTAGGCCTTAGTATTAATGTAAGTCTAAGTCATGTTGTAATTATCATAAGAACAGTAAAATTTGTGGTAAAATTGTACAGTCAAAGTCGTGGTATTGTCGTACAGTCAAAGTCGTTGTATTGTCGTACAGTCAAAGTCGTGGTATTATGGTACAGTCAAAGACGTAGTATTATCGTACAGTCAAAGTCGTGTTATTGTCGTACAGTCAAAGTCGTGATATTGTAATTGAATCTCAGTATTGATACTGTTGTGTAGTCTATGTGGTTATAAGTTATACAGTTTAAGTCCTGACATCATTGTACAATGGTCTTACAGTTTAAGCCGAAGTTTTGTTGTGCAATCTAGGCCGTGGTACTATCATTTGTGTACATTTCGGGAATGATTTATTTCACGAGCTCGCTTCTTCAGATATATTCGCGAATTCATGGCTTCGCGAATGTTAATATATAAATGGATTTAATTCGCGAATGATTTGTATTAGAGACATAAACTCTACAAAAATCTGAAATCGGTAAGGAATCAGCATTTACTATTTTCGTACAGATAAAAGCGAGGGATTCGAATTTGCGATTGACAGTACCTGTGTTTTAACGTGAAAATAGGTCTCCTGCAAAAAAATACATGATTTCCAGTATCAAAATCGAAAACAAAAGTCAATAAACCAAATTATCGTTCAACATTAATATTCTGCAGATCGTCATTGCAGAATTAACGACTTGAAATCTGTATACATTTACAGATGTATGTGACTGAATATACTCATCTTCTCATCCGTATTTCTTCTAAATTTCAAACACATATTGTTCCAAATGCAAAGCTGAAAAACTTTGGTCGTCTAAACCTTTCAACCGCCAAATTCGTTCCTTTTGGACGCCGAGAGAGAAGAGTCCTTTCATTTGGTTACATGAAGAGAAGCACCCTGTTTATCATTGACCCTGAGAGGGAAGCCCCCAGTTCATCATTGACCCTAAGAGCGAAGTACCCTGTTTATTGTTGACCCAGAGAGAGAGAAGTAACCCGTTTATCATTGACCCTGAGAGGGAAGTCCCCAGTTCATCATTGATCCTAAGAGCGAAGCACCCCGTTTATCGTTGACCCTTAGAGGAAAGCATCACGTTTATCATTGACCCTGAGAGAGAAGTACCCCGTTTATCATTGACCCTAAGCAGGAAGTACTCCATTAATCATTGACCATGAGAGGGAAGCCCCCAGTTCATCATTGACCCTAAGAGTGAAGCACCCCGTTTTTCATTGACCCTTAGAGGAAAGCATCACGTTTATCATTGACCCTAAGAGGGAAGCACCCCGTTTTTAATTGACCCTAAGAGGGAAGCACCCCGTGTATCATTGACCCTTAGAGGAAAGCATTCCGTTTATCATTGACCCTAAGAGCGAAGTATCTCGTTTATCATTGACCCTAAGAGGGAAGTACCCCGTTTATCATAGACCCTAAGAGCCAAGTACCCCGTTTATCTTTGACCCAGTGAGAGAAGTACTCAGTTAATCATAGACCCTAAGAGCCAAGTACCCCGTTTATCTTTGACCCAGTGAGAGAAGTACTCCGTTTGTCATAGACCCTAAGAGCCAAGTATACCGTTTATCTTTGACCCAGTGAGAGAAGTACTCCGTTTATCATAGACCCTAAGAGCCAAGAACCCCGTTTATTATTGACACTAAAGAGCCAAGTACCCCGTTTATCTTTGACCCAAAGAGAGAAGTAACCCGTTTATCATAGACCCTAAGAGGGAAACCTCTTCACCACTTTCATTCTCTGCGAGTGGAACCTCTCCACCACTTTCATACTCTGCGAGATTGAAACCTCTTCACCACTTTCATACTCTGTGAGAGTGAAACCTCTCCACCACTTTTATACTCTGCGAGATTAAACCTCTTCACCACTTTCATACTCTGTGAGATTGAAACCTCTTCACCACTTTCATACTCTGTGAGAGTGAAACCTCTCCACCACTTTCATTCTCTGCGAGTGGAACCTCTCCACCACTTTCATACTCTGCGAGATTGAAACCTCTTCACCACTTTCATACTCTGTGAGATTGAAACCTCTTCACCACTTTCATACCCTGCGAGAGTGGAACCTCTCCACCACTTTCATACTCTGTGAGATT